CCCCAAAACCCCAAAACCCCAAAACCCCGCTAAATCAAATAATAGAAGTGCATGTAAATTTGTCGAGTAAGAAATAAATAATTAATAAATTCTTAATGTTGTTTCTCGTGTACTCCATTGAGTGGATCTGCATTTGTATATTCACCATGATGCTAGTGAGCAAGTACTCTCATTCTGAGGCATCATTTCTTGTCAAGTTAGTTACATTCACTGGATGGTATCTTGGATTCACAATTATTGGAATTCTACCTATTGACATTATGATTGTAAATTATTCTCAATCATTTTTTTTGAATAGACCTCACAATAATACAAAGTTGTAGATGAAGGAATTAACCCTCAGAATATTAACTTGGAAATGATTTGGAGAGTATACTATTGGACAGCTTTTGTCATTTGCTGGGGATTCCTGCCATTTTTACTAGAATTTGTTAAGAACGGAGAATTCACTTTTAAAGCCAAAGCCAAATCCACACTCTTGAGGAATGCAAAATACTATTTGTTTTTGAGCGTGATTTCAGTCATATTTCTCACTTATCTGTGGATTTAAAACACATTTGAAAAGTAAAATTTTTTCACTTCATATAATTTGATAGAATGACATTTAAAGGTTTTATTATTGCCATTTCAAATGCTTGGGGTCTCTTTTAGATAATCATATTTCTAGGCTATGGAGTCGTGTCAATCCCAAAGTTTTGTTTTAGAATGACTAATCTTGAAAGATAATACCAATTAAGCATGTTCTAGGTTAGTTTGAGCGAGGAGAACTACTAGGGCTCAAAAATTGATCTGGAGGACTTGATATTAAATTTACAATCTTTGAGAAAAAAGACTTTAGAATAAGAAAACACTAAACTTATTGATGAGATGATATCTATTTGTCCTATAGAAATGGTTAATAGATCATCTGGCTACAAAGATTAAAATAATATTGATTCTAAATTCAAAAAAGCAGACCGAGAGTCACTAGTAGAATTAAACAGATAGTTAAAGTTCCAACTATAAGAGACTAAAAGAAGGCAAGTGACATACGAGTAATAGCTTGAGAAGACCTTTTTTATTGAAGATCTGTATAATAATATAGAATCAAAAGATAGAAAAATACATTCTGAGTTAATCAAACTTAGAGATGGAAAAATTGGATCAATTCTGGATTAGATTGAATGGGTGTGGTATATAAAAGTGAAGCCGACCTTATATAAATTTTTGGCATTCTTTTCAGTCCTTATGTCAATTACTCTAGTAATAGGCGAACTCATTATTTTATTCAAGCTAGACTTTTAGATTTTAGATTTAGTGCCTAAGAATGAAATGGGAACATTGATGTTCAATATTTTATCAACAGCACTTCTTCTCTATATGAGTGTCTGTATATATTTTGGACTGTTCAACATAAAGTTTACTGCCTACTATGAACTGCACCCAAACAAGTAAACTGACTCCTTCTCTTTACTTTACTCTGCTAATTTCTTGACTAAGCTAGCTGCTCCTTTATGTGTAAATTATTTGAAGATGCTGCATATTGAAAATACTTCCTTCCATCATATGCTTGGAGCAATGGATCCCATTCCATTGATTGGTAACCAATTTCAAAAGATATTTCCGGCCACCCTTGTGCTTTTGGTTATATTTAATTCGTTTGATCTTTGGAGCAAGCTTATGAAATGTATAGGACTAGATGAATTTGCCTTTACTGAAATTTATGATGAGGAAAAAGTAGCTGATGGAAAATAAATCTGCAAGCTTGGTAAGATTTATATTTATCTAATTAAATTACAGAGAGAGCTGATAGAGAAAGAGAGATGAAGCAATTCTTCAATGATTTGGAAACTCATGGAGATGGCAAAAACAAAAGCAAGGGATTTTTATACTCATCGAAGTATTTTATTGAGAATCCTCAATGTAAATTCTATAGAATACATTATTAGTAAGTAGAAATGGGTTCCTTAGGTAGAGGCAAAAAACAGAGAACAGCGAACACTTCAGCTAGTGACCAATTTATTGACTCTGACTGAATCAAATAATAAAATGAACTCTTTCTAATTTGTTTGATTTTTGAATTAATCGTTAATTTAGATTTATGGGGTTTTGGGGTTTTGGGGTTTTGGGG